GCAATTACATGAAGTAGGTGTATTTTCACTGATATTAACATCTTTACACAATTGGCTATAATTAAACACAAATTTCCGGGTAGATTTCTTGTAAATATAACAAATAAGAGGGAGCTCAGTATTATCAAAATATCCCGGAATTTGTTCTTTAACAGAATGGTCGTTAAAAATACCGGCAATATTTACAAAATCAAAACCTTTATTGACATACTTTATTTTAATAAACTGTTTTTTATGATCTTCAGGGCGATCAATTTTGGGAAACAGTTTAGAATAACAATATGCCATTATAATTTGAACGATTTCATACTTAGGACTGCTATTTGAAATTGTGTTGCAATCCTCTAAAATTTTATTTAACTTATTAACCGGTAATGAACAGAGCTTTGTTAACAGATAATGTCTGCCGTTGTTTTTTGAAATAGAAATTAGGTCCGAAATATTGGTATGATTGGTCCGAAATTTTCTTTGATTGCGATTTTTTCTACGACCATGAGAACGGTTTTTACGAACAGTTTTAGAAACTATATCCAAAATGTTAACAGAATCGGTTCTTGATATATTACCAATTCCCATGATATTATCATTAAGACCGAGAGGGTAGACAGTCTGTAATTTTTTAATCCAATTTAATTCAAGTATGTTTTTTTCACATCAAAAGAGGGTTTGAATAACTTAAAATCAATGCTATAAAAACTACTACAACACTGCTATCAGGAAAAAAACGACTGAAATCGACACTACATAAGTTTAACTGTCATCATCAGCTCAGTAGCGACATGTTTGTTTCGCTGTCTTAGATTTTTAGAAAAAATAGTCGTCTACATTGGTTTAGTCGTCTTGAGACCTTCCTTATGCGAATCCTTCACCTGTTTTGTATGTACTGAATTCATTTATTAAATTGGAACTATGGTAAACTACTGTTGCCTCTAATCTATCATATTGAAAGAGGTTTTAATTACTAATTAATAAACAGCATTCTTCAATAATCCCTTGATTTTGAAGACACTGTGCGAACGGTGTTAATTAAAGTCATATGAAACGAGTTTCTTATAATTTTTATGTTATCGAAATTATTGAACCAATGCATGCATACATACTAAAATTAAGTCCTGTATGCACGTTCGTTTATATTTATTACGAATCTATAATATATTATCGACAAATAATATTTCCTTCAGTGATTGTTGATTAAGCCAATTAGCTTTCGAGTTTGTTGACGACGTTTTCCGGATCGTGACATTGATAAATAATCAACACAGAGCATGTGGAGCACGTGACAAATAAGAGAATTGATATAGCCGTAACATATTTTTTAAATTTTCCATGCATTGCCATTTGTTAATTAAAACTTTTCCTTAACAATTGTTTAATGATTTGTTGTATTTTGTTAAATGATTTGTTGTATTAAATTTGCTCTTTAAGAATCGGTTATTACTATATACCTTCCTGTGCACGTTTGTTTACATTCTTTCATCACGGTTTTCTCCTTGCACTTGCGCTGTTCGGTGGCCGAAAGTCCAACGAGTGGCCTCGTAGTTGGTCACTGTATACGGGAAAATATCGGCGAATTAGTGAACGAGAAGACCACTATTCAATAGCAGTACATTTATGAACATTTTGATATTATAAAGGATTTTCTTTTACAATAAAGATCACGTACACTTCTTTTATAGTAAAACTTAGACATTCAAGTATATAAAACATATTAAACTTTTTTTTAAATTTGAAGCTTCATATGACTTTAAATATCTATCAAATGGCAACCATGTGGAAGCTTTTGCACATAATTTTTGAAATTCTAAAAAAGGGGTATCTGTTTTATCGTTTTCATCTTGAGCTAGAATAGAAATACGTAAACTGTAACAGCAGAAATAATCGAAAGCACACGTTTTATAAAGAAATCACATTTGACTTAAACAATCTAATGACTGCCCATTGAAGTTACTGCCCTTCGATAATCAAGCATTTTTTTCTGATAAATTAAATACTGAAAATGATTGATTAAACCTACTATACCAGACTTACAAACCAAAGCTCGTTTCATTAAATTTCAAACGCTTGGTACTAACAAAAGTGTACCCTGCTGGTCGAGCATTCATACCGATGGTATCATCAGCTCCGTAGTCAGTGCTTCAATAATGACATGATAAATGATAAACTATTTCTAAATTGCTTGAATATCCTTTGGTATCTGTCGCCTCTGCATTCCGTTGATAAATTAAGAAATTACTTAGAAACTTAGGTTCCAACTCCTTCAAATAAAGATGACCTTAATGAATTTGGCTATGTATTTTTTGGTCATATAACTTCTAACGTATTCAGGTATGTATCACCCTTGACGTTCAGATGTTTCGGTGTTTGTGGTGAGGATAAATCAAGAAAAACGTTTGGAAGCAATAAATTTTATTAATATTTATTTCTTTTCTATTTGTCTATACATTCATTATCATCCATCTTTTGGTTTGAACCAGTGCATCCCCAAGGGTGACTGGTGAATATACGTATGGTCACTTTTGTCTTCTTCCGACCGGTAGGAAAACCCTAGCCAAAGTGAGTCGTCCGTTTGGCTATGCGATATATATAAGTACGCAGTCACGTCCGGTCAGAATAGGAACATCAAATCCGATGTCTCGTGGACGTTACAACGCCTTGCAACAACTCTTGGGGGGATCAGTAGGTGGCCACTTGCAAAGATTAATATCTGTCCCTATCCAATATATCCTTACTTTCCAGTGGCTGTCCAAATTTTCCCCGACCTTCATCACGAACAGCCTCTATCACAGGACCGACGTATTGTATTAATTGTTTGTTCTTGTTCATGCTTTCAACATTTACCACAGGACGTAAAGCAAACAGCAATCAATTAATTAACCAGTGCAATAACAAGATATATAAAGTTGGGATCAGTTTTAACCTATCTTTAGAAAACCTATCTTTAGAAATGTCAGAATAATATGTGGTTTACCTGATCTAGCCTGACTAAGTGTGAATTCGAATGGCGGGTGATGCATACATGGCAGGATAGTAATACCCTGTCGACGCACCCGGTATCGTAGTTTGCCAATGTTAAAATCTCTTAAATCGTTTTTTAAAAAATTCAACGAGGCAAACAAACATACTGAGGGAATCGCAAGAATTCAAAAAGAAGTGAGAACTGTCAAAAAAAAGTAAAACAACAAAAATATCGAACTCCAATGAAAATTCAAATCGGAAAGTCACTTATAAAATGACAAAATCAAAAGCTCTAACACATCAAACGTATAGAAAACAACTGTCGCATTTCTGTCTTGGTACAGACATTTTCTTATGCAGAAAAAGGTGGATTAAATATGGTTTTACAGCTAGGTAAACCTCTCACTTGTATGACAGTCGTATAAAATTCCATTATAACAAAATTTATTCTATGGCAGAACCGTCAGAATCTGTTCTAGTGTAGAACTGTCAGAATCTGTTCTAGACTAGAACTGTCAGAATCTGTTCTAGGCTAGAACTGTCAGAATCTGTTGTAGTGTAGAACTATCGGAACCTGTTCTAGGCTAGAACTGTCAGAATCTGTTCTAGGGTACAACTGTCAGAATCTGTTCTAGTGTAGAACTGTCAGAATCTGTTCTATTGTTGAACGGTCAGAATGTGTTCTAGAGTAGAACTGTCAGAATGTGTTCTAGGCTAGACTGTCAGAATCTGTTCTAAGGTAGAACATTTCTAAATGACTTTAATTGGAGTATTTTCTGATCTTGACTTAAACAGTGGTAAGTCATACTTCAAATAAAAAGAAGTAAATAGTAAAGATAATTTCAATAAGCTGAATTTTCCTGTAAGTCATACTTTAGATAAAAAGGAGTATTTTTCATGTCGGGGCCTTTTATAGCCGAATATACGGTATGGGTTTTTCTCATTGTTGAAGCCCGTACGGTTGCCTATAATTGCTTACATCCACTTCATTTGAACTGTGGTGGATAGTTGTCTCATTGGCAGTCATGCCACATCTCCTTATTTTTTCATAAAGAGTTAAAATAATTGCAGTCTTGGATATATGTTATATATATATATATATTGTTTTGTTTTGTCTCTATATTTATAATTATTTTCTAATCAAACATATATTTATTTTCTATATTATTATGCTTATGCAGAGAGGAAAAATAAAAAAAAATATTTCTGTAATTATAACCACGAATACTAGTAATATAATCTCTTAAGAAAGACAAGAGTACAAGTCGGGGAGCACTAATTACATGTAAAATATAAGGGTTGTTTATTACAGATAAAATATGTAGATTACAAAGAGGCCATATATTTTCTTGAGGAGTGTTTTATACTCGACACCATTCAGCCTTGTATAATGAAACATACGTGGTTTGATATAATTATGTAAATACGCTAATATTAACAGTTCGTAAAATAACAAAATAAAAAAAGAATAAACAATATAAAATAATAAATCATGAAAGGTAAGAACGACATCCGGTATTTTTTGTTTCCAATAATAAATACAATTTACAACAAGAAATAGATAATAAATCAAACAGAAAGAAAATTGAAAACATGAACGAAGAAAAAGATAAAATTAGAAAATAAATAAATAACTCAAATAACTAAATAAAACAAATTAATAAATAAACTTAACAAATAAATTATAGAATAATAAATAAATTAGAGAACTAAATTTAATTTGATCTACATAAGTAGATAGAGCTGTCAAAAACTGTTTTAGAGATAGAACTGTAAGAATTTGGTCTAAGTTAGAATTGTTAGAATCAGTTCAGGGTAGAACCCTCCGAATCATTTCTATAATAGAACTGTCCGAAGCTGTTCTAGTTTAGAACTGTCCAAATATATTTAGATTAGAACTGTTCAAAACTGTTCTTAGGTAGTAAAGTTTATGTCAGAAACTGTATTTAAGGTGTCTGGAGAACTGGTCTGATTGTTGTTTATGCTGAATATTTTTGTTTTCATTCAGACATATACTTAGTATACTGTAACACTTATCATTACAGAGGAAAGCTGACATCAGCCATACAATTATGTGACGAAGCCTATAAAATATGTGTGGAATGTACACCGAGACATTTCTTTTTAAATGAGATTATATTTCTTCGATTCCATTGTCATCTACCATCTAAAGACTTGGGAGCCGCAAAAGACGATTTCAAGAAGATGATGATCGATAGGAAACGTTATAGTCAGAACACGGAACGTGGCGAGCAGACGATGCATATCTTATTTCACGCGCTGTTCCTGTATGACGAGGATGAATGGGATAATGCGTATAACGAGTTGCAGGTTGAGGTGCGTCGACTCAGAGATTTGGCGTTTAAATGTAACGATTTTGACAAATATTTGCATTTGTGTAGTAAGATCAACGACATATCTCATCTTTTCACTAGTAAGAGGGTAGATACAAACGATATACACAAAATTAAATGTCAAGAACTTGTAAGACAGAACTGTAAATTATGTCCCCTTATAAATGTCGATTTACTGTCGTGACTATTGGAAAGTTTTACATGATAGAGCTTAAGTAATCAAAAATGTTGGTGAGGCTTCTCATACAAATTACAAGAAAGGGCTGAAATAAAAAGACCGAAGGATGGCTATGTACAATAAGTGTAATACCTTTATCATTCTGTATTAGGAACAATTACAATGGTATTTACAATTTTGGCACTGTAAACAGGAACAGGGTAGAATTATATAACTATGTACGGGATAGTTTGTTGATTTTGTTGTTTTAAAAATAAAAAGTAGGATACAATCTGGTAATGTTTAGCACAAATATCCCATACTATGTTACTGTGCCACCATATAGCATACTACCGTAAAAACAATTTATTAGGCTATTATGATCTAAAAAAAATTATTCTCTAGTATTTGATAACATTACCCCTCAAAATAATTCAATAAGATGAACATATTCGTATAAATATTGTACCAAAATATTTTTTGGTAAGACTATTGCTTATAATAGGAATATCTCAAGTTGAGGCAAATTTGTCCTTTTGCAGTTTTTCCTTATGTTTAAAGACATAAGGAAACCTATGAAAAATATTCTTAATACTCGAAAACAAAGAGTTGTCTTTTTTATATATTTTGTATACATTTGTTATAAAGACTTATACATGAATAACATACTGCGTGTTTTGTGTTTTGTTTTGTTTTCAAAGTTATAGTTTGTATTCGAAGCTATAAATTTCATTTATTTTAAGTATTAAAATGGATAAAATATGATATATATGTAGTATAAACAAAGGAGAAGGTCCGGTAAGGGCTAATTGTGGCCTAAAATTTGAAATACATCTAATGAAAGATGTTTAACATTTTTTAAACACTTAAGTGTCTACTTCAGTCGATTCAATTGGTTTTTTGTAAAAGATTTGAATTGATTTGGTCATTAAAGACGCTCAAATTCAAGCTTGAATATGAAAAATCTATCAAATATGTTATAAAAAAAATGAAAATAACACGTTATAATTTTCATGCGTCCGAAGCGCTTTTCTGGATTTACCTCTATCAGGAACGCTCAAAGCCGAATACTTGAAAGCCAAGGATGTATAAGGACCGAAAACGTTGAAGCGCTATAAACCAAAAAGTACCTATAAAAGTACTAAAAGTACGTAAAGTACTATAAAATGTCACTGTTTAGATGGTTTTTGTCTACAATGAAAGTGGCCGCATTCGTGCTCAGTCTCAACCTTTATATAGTATCATCAAGTACAACATATATTTAAGTATTAAGACTGAACACAAGTGCGGCCACTTCCATTTTCGACAAAAAACGTCTAAAAAATAGCACAAATGTTAAAATTGTGAAGATTTCAGTAATTTTACATGAATTAATGATGCTAGCACCTGATGCATATGCATTGTATTGTCAAAAACAGCCACTATTTATGTAGCAAAAGTATTCTACTTTCCAATAAATAGCCAAAAGTTTACATTTTAACTAATTTGTAAAATGCTATATTTTGGGACCAGAAGGGGGTCTTACCGGGCCTACTCCTTTCTGGTATATTGGAAAGATTTTAGAGAAAATATACATATTCATAAATTGAAAGTAATTTTGAAATTCAAAAACAAATATTTAAAAACTAAAAGAAATTAGAATTGAGTGAAATGTACTTGTTTGTTTATATTGTTTATTTTTCTTTCTCATAGACGGCTGGTATGGCTCAAAAGTAAGAATAAATGTTCCTGTGTTATTAAGCATTTTTAAATAAAGATGGTCTGAGTGAGAATAGAAAATATCTCTGTCCATTTTCATCAATGCACGAACAGGTCAGGACCACTAGAACTTTGACGTCAATGCATGAAGTTGAACTAATAAAACATGCATTTTTCATTTTGAATTTCAAATTCGTACTAACTCAAATATTCCATCAAAATCTTGGAAAACCTAACCGCCTTAGTCTGTGTATGGTCTCGTCGTAGCTTGCTTGGCACGGTGTGGGTATGTTTGATCCCGCTCGGTTCAAACAAAAGACGTAAAATTGGTAAGTGTCCAGGTAGAGTGAAGTGTTAACGAGCAAACTAGCATGGAAATAATTCAACTAAGCGTCAGTCTAGTACAAATCATGGTTCAAATTAACATAATTTTAACATGCTCTGTTCCTGAATATGTTTTTAATTTGTAATCAAGTACCGAAAAAAAATCAGATTTAATCTTACCATGACGGGTTGATTTTCTAATTATATCAATATATAAAATCAGATGCCTGTTTTTTGCTTATCATATGAAATGCAATGGAAAAGTTATAATTTGCAGTTGTCACTACAGATATATATATATATATATATATATATAAATATAAATGCATAGTGTCTGTATGCTAAAAATGGTATTCAGGAATTATACTAAAGAGATAAGTAGATGATAATTCTTATACTTTAAATATTTCGTGTATTGTGATCATGCGTTCTTGTTTAATACCTATTAGATGGTAACACTTCTCGAAATGAGAGCTGATTGTATATCATCTCACGAAAGCGGAGGGAATAAGGCGTCTGCAAATTGATAATACTTCATGTGCATGGTATTTTCTAATAATAGTAAATAATTTATTGTAAGTCAAATAGAATTTTGTTCACTAAAGTTTGGGTTATAAAATGAGATAAAAACGGAATCGATATACCATTATAGTTGAAAATATTCATTAAAATCAGTCTGTTTCTAAGAATAAGGCCATGTGAATTGTATATCATCTGACAAAAGCGGCGGGGATAAGTCGGCTTCAAATTCATAATACTTCATGTGCATGGTATTTGCTAATATTAGTAAATCATCTATTGTAAGTCAAATAAAATTTGCTCACTAAAATTATTGTTATTTAAATGAGATTAAAGATTACGGAATCAATATACTATTATAGTTGAAAATATTCATAAAAATCAGTCTGTTTCTAAGAATAATGTCATGTGAAATTTACAGACAGTAATTGCTTTGTACTTTAAACCCGCAGTTCATTCCAAATTATCGGTAAGACAAAAAAAGTAGGCTGGTTTCCTTCCTAGCAACATACGGGTATATGGGCTAATTAGATAAAAGACAGGGCATCAGTCGACAGACAAATGACTGGTGAAGTTTCTAACTTAACACATGACAAAACTTCCTTTCAATTATGTTCTTCTTTGTCTTTGTTAAACCCATCTTATTGTTTGTGTTTACTCTGACTGTACTATATATATACCGGTATACATTGTTTTATTTGCTGTATAGGTGAAAAGTTAAATCACAAAAATTCTGAACTCCGAGGAAAATTCAAAACGGAAAGTCCCTAATCAAATGTCAAAATCAAAAGCACAAACACATCAAACGAATGGATAACAAATGTCATATTCCTGACTTGGTACATGCATTTTCTTATGTAGAAAATGGTGGATTGTACCTGGTTTCATAGCGCTAAACCTCTCACTTGTATGACAGTCGCATCAAATTCCATTATATTGACAACGATGCGTGAATAAAACAAACAAACATAATAGGTAAAAATGTCAAAATAGGGGTACAGCAGTCAACACCGTGTCACAATCTTAATCACAACAAAAACAAACAATTTTTTAACAAAGAAGCACAAAAAAACATATATCACATTTAACAACCTCGTTCATTGCTTACTTATTTTTGTATTTTATTTATGTATGCCAAATCAACCCATAAAGGATCGAGGGATTTTAAGCACTGGGACCGAATCGTAGTTTTAACATTAACTCTGGCGTAGAATCGCGTGTTTGACGTCAGAATGTAAACGTCACACAGGTAGAGATATAAAATAATTTTGTCGTTCAAAGTATGCAAAAATTATAATAGAACAATAACACAATGGCGGGATGTTTAAAGAGCAGAGACACGTCATATGTATCAAAGAAACATAAAAAGCCAAACGGACAAAGCACACAAGTAAAAATGAAAAATAATACAAACAACACAATGACGGGATGCATAAGTACAGAGCCACGTCAAATGTATATCACCAAAAACAGACCAAACAGTAAAAGTAATATTAATAAAGACAAATAAAAGAACACTTAAACACGTTAATGAGATGACAAACAGCATCAGTACGCAGAATGACATTGTTGTATAGTTAATTCAATAATCAATTTCTGTTGCTATATCTGAAAAAGTTATGAAAGTATGAAATTACCAGCTAAGTTACACAATTATATCTGTTATATATTATGTACATGTAAACGAGTCTATATTTGGTTCAAGATGTTGCAGGTTCAATCAAGTTTTTAGCTGCTCTCACATTTCATGTTTATATATCTGGACATTGCACATTTTCAATGATGTAGATATAAAGGAATCTCATTTTATATACCACTTAACATAAAAATAAGAAGATGTGGTATGACTGCCAACGTGACAAATCTCCACAATAGATCAAATGACATAGAAGTTAACATCTATAGGTCACAGTACGGCCGTCAACAATGAGCAAAACCCATACCGCATAGTCAGCTATAAACGGCCCCGAAATGACAAATGTAAAACAATTCAAACGAGAAAACTAACGGCCTGATTTATGTACAAAATAATGAACGTAAAACAAATATTATAAACAGCAACAAACGACAACTACTGAACTACAGGCTCCTGACTTGGGACAGGCACATACAAAATGTGGCGGTGTTAAACTAGATTCAAGGCGCCAACCCTCCCCTTACCTGGGACAGTGGTGTAACGGTACCACATAAGAACAAACTATAAAAATTAGTTGAAAAGGGCTATCAGATCGATACCAAGTAGAAAGACATCGAACAAAAAACACAGATCGGACGTGGCAATGTATTTATACATCCCCACAATATAATAGACATTAAGTACAGATATGAGAGTACTCGCAGTTACTGACAGCTAGTTCAAAGCCAATTACAACTAATAAACAAATGCATCTACGACTAAAGTATCAATAAAGTACACATCCAACATCCAATGGATTTAGTGTAAAGACGTCATTAACAGTCATGGAAAAACATGACCTTATGCAATGCCTATCAGTTAATGTGAGAACGTATAGACCATATGGCAGATTATTACCTCCAAGTCTATCGGTTAATGTAAGAACATATAGACCACATGGCATATTATTCCCTCTAAGTCTATCGGTTAATGTAAGAACATATAGATCACATGGCAGATTATTCCCTCCAAGTCTATCGGTTAATGTAAGAACATATAGACCACATGGCAGATTATTCCCTCCAAGTCTATCGGTTAATGTAAGAACATATAGACCACATGGCAGATTATTCCCTCCAAATCTATCGGTAAATGTAAGATCATATCCATTGTAGCAGATTATATCACCAAAGTCTTTCTGTTAATGTAAAAACAAATAGACCATTGAGGTAAATTATACACTCTTAGTCTACCAGTAGTTAACGTAAGAACACATAACCATTTCGCAGAGTATACCCTCGAAGGCTATCATAGAGAGGCGGAAGATATCAGAGGGATATTCAAACCCATATGTAGACGACACACTGACAACACCATTGCAATGAAAACGAAGAACGACCAAAAGACAAATAATAAATAAAGGATAAAACAGATACAGTTACATCTGCCTTTTATCTCGAATTACATCTCAAAATTGACAATAAGGGTCGGTTCAGAACAAAACTTTGAGACAACAGAGATAAAGACTGCTACCCAATTGTGAGCTTATCACTTCTATGTAGCAACATTCAAATAGCTCCTGCATATGTAGTATATATCTCTCGAATGATACGATATTCCAAAGCATCATGATTTTCTTGTAAGAGGGTTGCCGCGTACAACGACGCTATAAAACCAAGGGTTCAAAGTGGTGAAGTTGAAATCATCCCCTCGAACGAGCGCCACCACGAATTGGTTGACCGTTATGGAATATCTGTTTCATAGATGACGACACATATGTTCCAATTGTGGT